TTTAACAAATCTTTTTAGTTGTGAAAAAAAAGGCTGGTATATAGTACAGACAAAGGGAAATCCCCTTTTCATTAAAAAAAGACCTCTAAATCTTCCTTGCTATCTATATTGTCAAAATCCCCTCCTCACAGTATTTTTCTAACAAATGATATAAAACATGTACAACATGATGTGACTGATTAATGTCAGGAGTACAACGCTGACGTCATCAACAATGGCCAATTGCATACCTGCCACCAACACACGGCAATAGTTTTGGCCTTTGGGGAGAAAATTACCAAGGGATGGCCTTAAACTGTACTAGATCATAAAAGCATCTGGGAGAAATTACAAAATTGTGAGCACAATACCATGTGTGGGTGTGCCAGTTCTGGGGCTTGAACTTTGGACCTGGGCTCTGTCTCTGAGCTTTACTGCTCAAGGCTAGCACTCTACCACTTCCAGCTTTTTTGGTGTTTAGTTGGAGATAAGAGTCTCAGGGACTTTGCTACCTGGGCTGGCTTTGAACCATAATCCTCAGATCTCAGCTCCCTGAGTTGCTAGGATTACAGGACTGAGCCACTGGCACCAGGCTGAGAACACCACTTTTTAGAGGAGGATGGGAGAATTGTCAGCCCTGAAAGAGGGTTGGCATGTATGTAACTGAGAATGACAGACATTTGTGGCACTGTTTGTTATGGGATAGCAGATATTAGAGAAAACAAAAGTAGGCCAAACTCTCCTCTGACTTAATGTTTTCTAATTACACAAATCTCAACCGTAAGGTAGCAACTCTATTTGGGGGCTATGGAAGGTAGAAAGAAAAATCTGAGGTTTGCACTGAAATGGAAAGTTTTCTTTACTTACTGGAAGACCAAGGGGGCCTCTGTCTCCCTTTTGACCTGCTTCACCCTTCAATCCTTTAACACCATTTAACCCTGGGTCACCCTAAATGCAAAAGCAAATGCCAATTTTGGTTGCTATTATGGGTGTGGCAACTGTGAGAGAAGAGAGCCAGTCTCTGAAACATGAATACAGATTCCAGTTTTAGGTGCCTGCAGAGTTGGGCTAGATTTGTGTTACATCATTTCTAAAGTCAGTTTTTAAAAAATGGGGCTGGGGATGTAGCTCAGCAGTAGAGCACATTTGACTAGCTGGCTGAAGGCCTTGGTGTTCAGTCTTCAGCATCCTCTCTCCCCCCAAAAATATTCAGATTGACAGGTAGATAAGATTCTAGAAAGCAAAACTCCATCCGAGCAAAGTGTGCTCAAACACATGCCTGTTCCTGGATTTTTTGAGTTCTATCACACCCATACGAATGCCACACTGCATCCCTTTGATTAAGCAAATGGACGGCAATCAGAATGCTGAAGGAGACTCAGCAGCAAAAGCCCACTCTGCTGCAATAGAAAACTGGAATATGCAGGACAGTGCAACAGACAGACATTTTAAGCCTTTAAGCATTTTGCCCAGGAGAATGAGCCATAAACATAGCGGTTGATGTGTGAAGCAACGCCATTTGTCAAATTCACTAATAATGCCAAATCAAGTGTCTGTGTGGATTCACCAATAGGGTTGGTGAATATCACTGAACAAGGAAGTGAAGATGAAGATCAAAGAGCCTAAATGTTGAACTGTCCATCTGCCCTATGTGAAGAGTCAAGGAGGCAAGAAAATAACTCGCCACTAACACCACCTAGCACAGGAATGGGTGTATCTTGTGAGTGTCCAGTTGGGAAACAAATACAGAATTACATCCATCCTTAGAACCATGTCATGTTTTGAGGGTCAGAGAGGGAGAGCCCTATCTATCAGAAGGGCTACAAGTGACCCACTGTCCTGATGCTAGGCGTTTGAAGTCTGGAATTCTCAGAGTAGGAATCCAAACATGCTAAGAGGTAAGGTTGGATCCTCAGAAGAGCACAGGGTCATGATGAAAGCCAAGGCTCAGTAGGCAACTTCAGTCACTAGGCTTGAGACTTAGAGCTTTCTGTGCGTGTGCACGTTTGGTGGGTGGTCTTGAGCTGATAAACAGGCAAGGGCAGCCGTGGTAAGCTGTGCTGTTCTTTGGTGGATAATCGTGGTTGACTGGACCAAGGCCATTTTGCAAACATGAAATCCAGTAGAACAAAGACCAGATTTCAAATTGAGGCCCAATCTTAATCCAAGATCTGATATTAACCACCTGTAAAATGTCAGGCAAATAATGAAAATTCCTGGGTCTGTAGTTTATCAGCTTATATACATCAAGAAACAAGCAAGCATAGGACATCTGTGAAGAGAGTTCTCTGCTTATCTGCACAATAAATAATTGCATTTTAGACATCCAAAGGCTTTGGGCATCTCCTCATTGAATGGAATCATTGATGGTACTTTCAAATCCAAGGAGAAGTCCAGAATGGGAAGCATGAGTTTAGTTCTGGGGGCGAGGGGGAGGCCCAGAGAGGTTGAGTAACTATGCACATTACAACCTGAAAGATGGGACTCTCTTTTCTGACCCTCCAAAATAGTATTCTACTAAAACACTGTCACTCCCTGGCATTATGGGAGATAACATTTTTTTAGAGGAGGTGTGAATTCTTTCCATTCTTGGTATGTCATCTGCCTGTCCCCCAAAAGGAAAGTCAACATTTCCTGAGGCATACCAGTCAATAGCTACTACCAACTCTTTATGTGGACAGACTAGAAGGAAGCCAGTCTTCATCTCACAACCCCAGTAGACAGAGTTGACAGCCTCGGGGCTTTCTGATGCCTAGTGCCAACACTGTGCTGAAGATTGTCCCTGAGACCTACATAAAGGCCAAGAACACACACAGAGACTATTTCACAATGCAAGCTGCTCTAATTCTGATAAGTGGGCGACTCTCCACTGCTCTCTCTAACCCAATGCATATTAATACTTGTAAGGGATTAAAAACTAAAAACCTCCATACCATCAGAGACCTGGCTCTCTGGACAATGAAAGCATGTGGATGATGGAATACTGTTTATTACACAGCAAGCAAGATGTTTCAGTGAAGAACCAACCAAGCTAGAGAACCGTGAAAAAGAAAAAAGCACCTGGATTCATCTGAGAATCTCATCAGACAACTTCTCAATGGTTGACTATTGAGCCACATTCCCAGCCCTGTTTCTTAAATATATAGCGACAAGGAAAAAAGTAAAAGGCAGAATAGTGGACTTGCAGGTGCTATCACTTAAGCTGCTGAAATTTAAATGTGTGGTGAACGTACCACAATGCTTAAAGGCTTAAAGATTATCAACGTTTCTTGACAAGGAAGACAGGACAGACATGCTTCTGTCATGCTTTTCCACAATCATCAAGGAAGCAGAAATCAAATAATCAAGGGATTTGTTGAATTACCTTTGGTCCAGGAAGTCCATGGGGTCCCTGCAAATGGGAAACACAGTTTTTAATTAAGAAGTGATGATACCGTTTTGCAGCACAAGTGAATATTATATCAAATAACCAAAAGGTAGCTTGTTTGTGCTGTAGCTGGAGGCAGGCAGACTCCTGGATGTTATTACCCACCCAAACATTCCTTCCTGCTTTTGGACTGCGCTGTAATAGGAAATTCATTAGTAGCAATTCTCTCTGCTAAGTACCTATGTGAAACAGGGAGAAAACTACCAGGGTTACATGGATGAAAAATTAGGGGGTGGGGGGAATGCAATTTTGAATTTATATTACTCCTTCTCAAGTTTCCACTGAAAATTGTGTGTGTGTGTGATGTTTCATGAGTTTACTCAGAATGGAAGGACTTGAAAGCCAGGAGTGCTAGTCTTCAGCAAAAAAACTCAGGGACAGTGTACAGGCCCTGACTTGAATTCCGCCCCCCCCAAAAAAAAAATCCAGGAATTTATCAAATCAAAGCAAAGTCCTATACTTTAACTAGCAAGGAAGAAGAAAGCTTTTTCTCCTTAACAACTCCATACCCAAGGTATTGAAGGATCTAAAGGGGACAGGAAGTAAGGACATGGTAGTGAACTGTAGAATTCCAGCATCATCTTTTTGACATTAAGAAGGGCGGAACATTATTTGTATTGCTTTTAGTTTTACAAAGAGGAATTGTTTAAGGCTCTTGAACAACTGTTTTCTTAAATCAGAATTTAATCAGAACTCCACACATTTTGTAGAGGCAAAATAAAGATGAATACTTTAAATTAATTGGCAGTTGCTTAAACCTGTTCAAATGTTTTAAATAACCTGCTCAGGGAAAGGCATATTTAAATCTCCATCGGTGAAATACAACAGCAGGAATGATGTTTTGAACAAGCAGTGCCTAGAGTATTTGTTACATATATCCTCAAGTTTACCTTCAGATAAGTTGTGTATACACATTTTCAGGAAATGGCTGCCTCATTTAAATAATGGCTTAAAATTCCTGCAAGCTCATTAATTTTATCATCTGAACAGGATGTAGCATTCTAATTTAACCTTCTAAAGTCAAGCAGAGGGAGTATAAACTAAAATATGGGATTTACTTGATTCTTAAGGAATTGTTTTTAAGAAAATTGCTTTTAAGAAAACCAAGTTAATTGTCATGGTTTTGTATTATGAAATAGAAGTGGTAGTTGGTAGATGATTTGACAGCCTCAGTGGCTTGGATCTTTCCTAAGCTCTCTTTACACAGCAATAGGAGGAAAGACTGGCTAAAATGTACAATCTGTTATTGGTCACTTCCAGTTTAATGAAGGCACCTCAGCCTCCTGCCCTGCTCTCTGGCCCCCATCAAAAGCATTTCAAGTCCTAGGCCTGCTACATTCTAATTGCTTAATATAACTGTCTGACATTCAGAGAACTAAACATTAATGGCTGACTTCCTCAGTAGGCATAAGTTCTATGAGAACCACTATTTCCATTGGCCACTGCAAGACAATATAATAAGGTACTGGATCTGCCTCAAGACATCCCCAGATCTATGGGAAAGGAAAAAGATATAAAATGTTTGTCATCTGTGGAAGTAAAATGAATTGTGATTTTGTTTCAGCAAGGCAAAATTTACTTCTTCAGAAGAGTGTGCCATCAGACAGGAATCTGGCCACCAAGCAGGCAGGTTGCTCCACTGTTCATTTGCTAACACAGCAGGCCCCACCCTTCTGCTCAGAGCTCAGGATCACAATCTGCTCATGATTGGCTAGTTTGAACAGGGTAAGATGTATTTACATGAGGTGACCATTAAAAAACTTTGCTTTTGTGCTGTTAATTGTAATTCAATCTCAAAACATATCTCATAGCGTGTGCTATTTCTAGAGCAATCAGGTGTGTTGTAATTCCATCTTGAGAAAACCAGGTAAACCTCAATTTTAACCACTGTTTTATATATATGTGTGTGTGTGTGTGCAAGTGTGGACACACACACACATTTTTTTTTTTTTTTGCTGGTCCTGGGGCTTGAACTCAAGGCTAGCACTCCAGGCACTTGAGCCACAGCACCACTTCTGGCTTTTTCTAAGTAGTTTATTGGCGATAAGGAATCTGATGGACTTCTCCACCTGGGCTGGCTTCACATCATGATCCTCAGATCTCAGCCTCCTGGGTAGCTAGGATTACATGCATGAGCCACTGGCACCTAGCTTTATAAATATTCTTACTGGATATTTTGCTGCTTAGAGACGAGAACAGTCACTGGTTAAAAGGATCTGCCAGTGTTCATATGGCAAAGTTGGGAGAAAGCTTGTCAAATCTGTCTGTCCTCAACTCTCTTATCCCAAAGATCTCCTATCTCTTTTCCCAACACATGTGTGTCTGGGGTGAAAGACATTTTAAAGTCAGTACGTCTCAAAACACCTCATATTTTTCTGTCAATCCCACAGAGAGTAGTACGAAACACAAGCTGGTTGTTCAGAGGACCCGTGCATGTTTTCTCTGGTAGCATGCTCATAAAGAAAGAATTACATTTTGGAGACAAAGAAAACTTACCATGGGGCCAGGTGGGCCATGGGGACCTGGAGGGCCAGGGGGGCCTATGATCTGTGTATCCAAAAAATAAACATGGATTTGGTTACTTCATTTAGATAAGGCAGTTCAGTCTGAGCCTTGCGCTGGGTCTCTGCTAAGGCCATTAATAGCTTCAGAGGAAGAAGGGTTTTCAGAGAAGTCATGGGTTTGAGTCTCTTAGGTTTAAAAATTCCTCTCTCAGAGCAAAACAGCTTCAAGAATAAAAAAAGAAAAAAAACACCCTACAGTTTTGTTCTACAAAAGCCAGAATAAATCAAAAGAAAAGGAAACAACTTATTACCAAGAAATTCTCTAATGCCGCAACCACTACTAAACTCTCGAATATGTCATGAAGCATAAACAGGGCTGCGGCGAAATGAAGGAATGCGTATTCCATGTTCACAAAACTCTACCCATGGCGTTATGGGAAACCCATTGATTTTCCTCCTCAGTCCTCGGAGAAATTGCTTCTAACTCTCCTGAGTCACTCAGTCTCTTTCTGTGTGCAAGGCTGACACATAAATTTCTTCTCCAGTTTGACAAACCCAAGTGGTCCAGACATTACTACTACTGATAAGCCATCTGGCATAGGTGCAGCTGGGTAAATAATTATACGTGTCAATGTTTTTCAGGAGCTACAGAAGTTAGGGGACTTACAGAAGGACCCTGAGGACCTGGCAAACCGGAGTCTCCTTTCTCTCCTTTCACTCCATTGGCACCCTACAAATAAACAGTAAGTGGAACAAAGCATGTCAAGTTATTTCCAAAGTGTAAAAGACAATGGACTCCCTCTGCCCAAAATGTCATTCTATTGAAATGTTATACTATTATGCACATAAAAGATACAGAAGGATTTACCAAGGAGATAATAAAATCCTTAGGATTGTGGGTGATATGTAAAATAAGATATGAAGTATGTAGAAACTAAGTTGAGCTTGACTGGTTAAAGTTTCACAGCATTAAATACATTGGGCTATAAATGTTACATCTTTGGGGTAGTACTCTATCAATTGTGTGTGTGTGTTGTTACTGGGGCTTGAACTTGGACCCTGGGTGCTGTCCCTGAGCTCTTTTGCTCAAGGTTAGTTCTCTACTTCTTGAGCCACCCTGCCACTTCTGACTTTTGTATGTATGTGTGTGGTTAACTGGAGATAAGAGTCTCATGGACTTTTCCTGCCAGGGCTGGCTCCCAACTGTGATCCTCAGATCTCAGCTTCCTGAGTAGCTAGGATTAATGTGTGAACCACTGGTGCCAGGTGGTAGTGCTCATTTAAGTAGCAAAAGGCGTTTTCTGTTTTCATTGCATTTATTTATATCTTTGTTTTTTTTTAAAGTTTTTTTTTTTTGGGTCCAGTCGTGGGGCCTGAACTCTGGGCCTGGGCACTGTCCTTCAGCTCAAGGCTAGCGCTCTACCACTTGAGCTACAGCACCACTTCTGGCTTTTTTCTTTTTGCATATGTGGTGCTGAGGAATCAAACCCAGGGCCTCATGCATGCAAGGCAAGCGCTCTACCACTGAGCCATCTTCCCAGCCCTATCTTTGTTTTTTTAAAAGGTCAAAAGCAGTAGAATTTAGTACATCAAAAAAATTTCTGCCTAGCACTGGTGGCTCCCACCTATAAATTTGAAATCTGAGGAATGCTGTTTGAAGTCAGTCCAGGCTTAGCTCTAATTAACCACCAAAAAGTGGAACTGTGGTTCAAGTAGTAGAGAGCTAGCCTTGGGCAAAAGAAGTCCAGAGATAGCACCCAGGCCCTGAGTTCAAGCCCTAGGATTGGCACAAAATATAGATTTAAAAAATTTTATATTTCTCCTATGAAATTTTCAGTAAAAATGAGGGAAAAACTATCAAAGCACCATCCCTTATTATATACATAGAGAATACTGTGAGATGACTTGTCTACAATCAGTGACACATGTATACTAAATGAAAGTGAATAATTACATTTCTTTTGCTATCTCTAGTAGACTATAGTGAAAATAATCCAGAAAACATGGTATATTCTGTAACTCAGCCATCATCTTTAAGATTTTAGTTCCTTTGTTGGGGTAATTAACCAAGAATACTTCAAACAGGTCAAAGTAAAAAATAACCGTTAACTGTGATTGCAAAGAATGTAATTCCTTACTGTTTGTCTTAGAATACAGCATAAAAATTATAAACATACCGGCAATCCTGGGAGTCCAATTCCTCCTTTTTCACCTGGCATGCCTGGGTCCCCTGTGTCCCCCTTCGAGCCTTTGAGTCCCTACAAGTGACAGGTTTGCATGTAACAAGGGTAGGTGGTGACACATGACAATTCTATCCTGGCAAAAACAGAAGTCCAGATCAATTTCTTAAAGTGGTTGGTCCTCTGCTGAGAGGATTCTGATTTGGGAGTTTGGTAGTTCATCCAACAAACAACCTTTTACATGGAATTCTATTTCTATGAGGTCATTTAAATGTGAAAAATGGAAAATTTAGCTTTTAATATTATTTTGCCAGATTTTATATAGTTCAGGAAGACAATTCTTACTAGTTCAGAAAGCAATTTTATGCTGCACTCCTTCACAGTACAGAATGTGTTATAAGTCAGGATCTGGTGGGATAACAGCAGCCCACACAAAGTTTCCGATCTCCACACATGAGGCATTCCTGCTCCCCTTCGTTGTACATGTAAATTCCAGACTTCATTAGTTCTCAGTGGTCCACCTACATTTTTGTACACCGATGCTCAAACAATACTCCAGCTTTTCGTAGTATTCTTGTTTTGTTCTCCTAATAGCTCTACAAGGTGAGCTGGAATGCTATTCTTTACTCTCCTTTTACACTGAGGGAATAGATAAATATGCACTTTGGAATGCTAACACGTAAGAATTGTGTAACATGAACAGTGATAGTTACTTACATCGCTAAGCATTTTTATCCTGGGCACCTTTCTGCATTATGAGCACATGGCCCATTCTCCATATTCTGTAGCAAACATTATCATTGCTGTTGGGCTTCTCAGAGCTGCGTATCTTAGGAAGAGGAACATGTCTTTTCTTGTAAATTAGACCTATTTCATAGGATTTCTAATCCAGAACTATATAATATACTGGGGTATTGGATAGGTGCCTTCTTAGATAGCTCTTTCTTATTAATTAGACCTTGATTTGTTTTATGGATCTAGGGATAGAGAAAATCAACATGGCCAATCCACTGGACTTTGTGGCAGGAGGATTATAATACCTAAAAAGAAACCCAGCAATTATATACTTAGGGCTACTTGGTAAGTCATTTCTTATTTATAATGACTAACAGTGGGAGAAGTAATCTTAATATGACCTTTGCTTTATATAGAAAATCAAAAAAGATCCTTCTTATCATGTTTATTTAATGTGTCATTATGACTTTAACATCCAACTTGGATATTAAAAAAATAACTCGGGGAGGGGAGATGTAGTTGTAGAGATGGGAGGGAAGGGATGATAAGGGAAAAACAAAGGAGGAGGCAACAATGCTTGATAAGAAATGTATTCATTACATTGCTCCTGTGATTGTAACCCCTCTGTACAGTATTTTCACAATAAAAAACTTAAAAAAAACTCTTCTACACTTAATGATCTGTGTGAAAGAAAATTTCTTCTGATGAGTACATGGCTTGTTGGCTTTATCAAGAATCTCCTTGATTTTTTGTTTTAGTTTTAGCCATAAACTATTAACATCTTGAAATTCTTTTGTGGTTTGTTTCTTAAAGGCAGGGGTCACTGAATGATAGTTTCTATATCCAATCCAGGGATTGTTTTTGAACAGGCTGAACTTTAAGAAGAGCTGGAACAAAAAAGAATGTGTTGGGGGCTGTTCACAAACAGCACAACTTCAAACATTTTTTTCTCTGGTCCTTTATAGAAGAGTTTGCTAACTTCTGATTTAGGGTAAAGCCCCAAAGTTGCTGCTATATTCTGGAAATCTATCAGGCCCTGACTGTTGGGTCTTTACTAAGGATCTAGGATTGTAAGTAAATTATGTGGAAGAAGAAAAAAAGTAAAAATAATGTATGTTCTAATTCTATGAAAACAATGGTCACTGATTGTAATATTACTTGTACTCACTTGCCCAAATTACAGGGATATATACACTAAATTGGTAATGACCTAACTAGTTTACCAAAAATTTCAGAGTAATTATTGATAAATTGATCACTAGTTACTAAAAGCAAAATTAAAGTATCTATCTGTTGCTGTTTCTCACTAGTTACTAAAAGCAAAATTAAAGTATCTATCTGTTGCTGTTTCTCTAACAAAACTAATGTTTCCTTTAAAGCAGATGCCTTTTTTGAGAGCTTACATTGGCTCTAGGACAGAGGGTGATGAAAAGGTGGTTGTCATGTATCATTATGAATGACTATAATAGATGAAGTGACCAATAGTGATGCTATAAATACAGTTTATGTATTTGAAAATTACCTGCTCTCCATCAACTCCTGGGAGTCCTGGAGATCCCTGTTCCCCCTGTGAAGATAAAAAAACAACAGCTTATCTTCATCTTATCATTGCTAACCTATGGTGCAAGTTGGTTAAAAGTACAGTTTGGCTGGGCACTGGTAGCTCATGCCTGTAATCCGAGCTATTCAGGAGACTGAGATCTGAGGATTATGGTTTGAAGCCTGCCTGGGCAGAAAAGTCCATGAGACTATCTCCAATAAAGCCAGAAGTAGCGCTGTGGTTCACTACCCCTGAGCATAGAGAAGCGCAGGGACAGTGCCCCGGCCCTGAGTGCAAGCCCCACGACTGGCAAAACACACAAACAAAAAAACAGTTTGACTTTAGGAAATGCATCATAACCCGTGAGTGGTAAAAATGTTAAAAATCCCTAATAATTTGATTGTTCATCACATTCTATAACAAAAACCTATATGATTTGGTTGGTTTTGTCTGTAGAAAATCTGTGTGGTATTTATAGTATTATCAGTCACAAATACACAATGCCTCATGCATTTACAGCATGGTAACTAGCCCAGTTTGAATGAATTCATAATAACTCCTGAAAAGCCTCTTTGAAGGAGATAATAAATCAAATAATATCTTCATCCACATAAAATTACCTTTAGATCAATTTCCTATGGTATGCCAGGAATGAAATACAACTTTCAATTCATATTGATTTATTAGCACTTTTGACAAACTCAAACTATACAGATTGATGGTTTTTTTTTTCTTTTTTTAAACTAAAGAAATTTCATGAAAACAAATTGGAACAAGATGCTGGAGATTAACCAGGCTATATTTGTTTAGTCACCTTTCAATTTTGAAAAGTATGGAACCAATGAATTTCTTGAAATGTAAAACATTTTTAATTTGTCAAATCTGTGTAGGTCCTATTACAAATAACCCAGAATTCTGCCCAGTGGCAACTCTGAAACCAACTCTTTGGAGTGTGAGTGGTCTGCACACAGGCAACTGTTTTGAGCCTGCCTTCTAGAAAAAATTCTGTGTGTTGGTGGGACAAACCACAAGATTGAAACAGCTATTCCTCTTCTACCTGGTAAAAACCTTAAGAGTTGTGGGCCAACGGACAAAATAGGAACTTTCTAGGATTTAAGGAAGGCTTGATCTTGTTCCAAACAAATGAATTTTTTTTAAAAGAAAAAACCTTTTCCTCCCTTTAGATTTGCTTGCTAAGTTTATTTTGCCACTAACAAGTCTGTTGAGGTTGGTTGCACCTGGCTGAATTTTAGCTTCATTCTGCCTGAACAGAAGTTGGAACTCTGTGGCCACAGTAACTGCTTTGCTAAGGTTGTTGCTTTAAAATGTGACTTACGGAAGCCTAAAAGATAAGTGTAATTCATGCAATTTATTTATCCTTCATATAGTTGGTATAGGTTATTTGATTCCCACTAGATCTGTGACTGAATCCAGAGATAAGAATGTACTTTTTATTTAGTAATTGAACCAATAAATATCATTAATAAAATAAAATTAAGTAGGAAGGTAGGCCTTCATGATAGATTCTTCTTAAGCTAGCGGCCTTCTCTAGGTATTGTAAAGAAGGGAGAAAGAAGCCTCTGTGGTTTGGGCAAGAATGAGGTTTACATTTGCTTTGGAAGGTAATTCTGATCCTTGAGATCTAGTCAAGAGAAAAGATAAATGAAGATCCAATGGCCTTGCTTCAATTAAAAAGGAGCCATTTAAATTTAGGGTTGCTTATGAAACAGCTAAATAGTAGATATTTAGGCAGACCTGCTCACCAGGTATAGTGTGGTAGCAGGATATTTTGTCTGTTAATATCTCTTAGGGAGTAGAATAAAAAAAAAAAACCTATACCTTTTCTTGTGTGATACATGAAATGCATTTTGTTTTACACAAAATCTGTTTGATGATAGGATCTGTATTCTCACATAGGCAAAGGCCTCAGTAATATTTTGCTCTATAGTCCTTTAATTGAAAGTCCTTTATTTTGCTCTAAAGTCCCTTCTCTAACCTAGACTTACACTTTTAAATCTACAAAGCCAATGAGTTGGAAAGTTGATGAGTGTGTGTATGTGGGTATGACAGACTTAGCAAATAAACTGACTTAAGAAGCCTAAACAAAGGATGAAGTTTGAAACCGTTTGAACCTCCTACAAAAATCCAATGACGAAAGTCATATTTCAACACGTGTAGCTCAGTTCTGAGAAGTCACAATCCCCAGCCATGTGTTAATTGATCAAACATGGTTGAATGGCTAAGCTTTAGTTAGAAGAAGAAAGCTAGCACCATCAACAGTTTTGGTATAATCAACTTGTACTGGCTTTCTACTGTTTGTTGTTAGTATGAGTCATTAGATAAGAATTTAATGGTGGAAAGAGATGTGTTAAAAACATGATTGAAGAATGATTCCTGAAACTGTCACTTAGGAACACACCAGACAAAAGCATCCCTTGTTCTTTTTATTACAAAAAAGTGTTAGAGAATATTTCTTTGACCCCTAGGTAAATATTTTCTTTTTCTCTCCATATTCTTTGTTTTTCTGTATCCTTCCTTAAATTCATTGCCACTTCCATTTCTTCCCTGACTTTCCTCTCTTCCTTTGAGACCTTGATTTTTTTCTTCATTCTCTGAAGAAACATTATTGATCTTCTGTAGCATTTTGTCAAAGACATATACTTACTATGAGCATCTCTGCACTAGATATAACAAGTAGAAACAAAGACTAACCTTTGGCCCTTGTAGTCCTTGAGGCCCAGGAGGTCCAGGGGGGCCCTAAATCAAGAAAAGACACAATTGAAAAAAGTAGCATACAGTATTCAAATTCATGCTTTAAAGAACAAAACACTACACACCTCCCTTATGTCGATAATCAGATACTGCCATTCCATAATTATAAAAGCTGTCGACTTGTATGACCCTATCAACTACATCAGGTCAGTACAACACTGCAGATGTTTTGGGGCAGTTTAAATGCCTCCCATGCTCATATACATGCTCTTGGACTTGCCTTCTTATCTGCATTTTCAAATAACCTATTTTCCTCTCTGTCCCAATGGCTCTAATGTCCAGAACCCTAAAGAGCAATGCTAAAACTATTAAGAGAAGGCTAAAAAGGCTTTTTCTTTAAAAAAAAAATCATGTTTTCTCTTGATTTTTTTCCTTTCATGAAACAGAGATTCAACAAGGGTAAATATTTTAAGGAAACATAAAATTATCACATAAAACAATTACTGCATTAGTAATACCTTCGACCTGCATGCATCAACACTACGAGTCACACAGCACAGATAGCATGCAATAGGAGTTACCGTGACAGTTAGGGTGGTAATCCTCTGTGGGGAAAACGTATTAACAAAGATAGAGTTACCTATTTTGTGTGCCAAAAGTACAATAATACATTTCTGAGAATAACCTAGCCTTTTGCATGTTTTGGCAAGTCTAATGTCTTAATAAGGAACTGCCAAGGGTCTTCAACACAGTCTAATTGCAAATGTTTTTTAAAAAAAGTATTTTCAGAATTTAGTGGACAGGTAAAGTTAAAGAGCACACACACTAGAGGTTGGTCAGCATAATTTGGGAAATTTGCTCTTGATTAAAAGCTCTATTGGGGTGACATTATTGTATTCATAAATGGCTTTGTTAAATGGAAACTCCTTTGTACAACTACTTAAAGGTAATAAAAAGTAAAAGTTCTATGCTAGAGAACAATTAGAGAAAATGGAAATACTCATTTGCATATCTTTTCTCCTTCATACCTCATTTGCTGCATTATAATTAGCCTTTCTTTTTCTTAGGTGAGACAACTCAAGAGGTTGGCATGGAGTTAAACTAGTTTCTTAAAATGCTACAGTACTTCGTCAAAA